CACCTGACCATCTAAGGAGATGCGCTGTGTGGCAAAGGCTATCTGAGGGGCATTTCAAGTGAAACCTCCAGGAATGGTGCCTGACCGAGCCAAGCCTGCCTAGCCCCAAACCTTCCCAGGCTGCATTCCCAGGACCTGTGGCCCAGCCCTGCTCCTGCCTCATGTTTTCTTAAGTTTCGGCCAACTGAAGCCAAATTCTCTGTGCAACCTGCTGGACAGATGGTGAGCAAGAAGAGGTGAGGTTACCATTCTTGGGGCTGACTAAGCTCGACGTATACTTCCTACCCTGGGACTTCCACCTCTTCTCCCCAAGCGCAGCTGCCCCTGTTCTTTCCAGCTCTGCCCAGAACCATGACTCCCGGTGGAGATCAAGGGCCTTCTGGCCTCCAGGACTTCTCTGCTGCTCCTTGGGCCTGGCATCCTTTCTCTCCCTTTTCTTCACAGCCATTTCAACACAGTCTTGCAGCCTCCTTAGTGTCGCCAGCCAACATCATTCCTGGCCTCCTGTTACCCAGAACTCCCCATTTGTGCCTACTTCCTTCTGTTCAGGGCTCCTGTGGCTGTTCACAATCCACCTTCTCCCCCACCCTACTAGCACCTCTGACTTTTATTGGTCTCCTCAGGTTAGCTCTCAAACCTAGTATAACAGCGTAATCTGGGTTTGTATCTCACAAAGTCGAATAATGAAGTCAAGAACAAAGGAGGAATATTTATGAAGAACAGAGGAATATCTCCCAAAAGCCAGAAGGAGACCTGGAAGTGGGTCACCACAGGGACTCTTTGTCTAAGAGCTTTGATGCCAAAAGATGACCAGGGCGCAGACCATTCTGAGTCAACTAAGGTCCACCTATAGGACTAAAACAAGTTTTTGGAAACTAGAAGTGGGCCTATGAGGGGTCAAGGCAAGAGGATGGCCACAGATGCCTCTTGACCTCTATCCTATGCAAGTGGTTCATTAAAAGAGCAAACTGAAAAAGAAGTAAGTTTTCCAGATAGACAGGAGGAGAAGTCGTCATAGTGGCCATTCATCACCTTGCTTATTACATCCCTGGACTTAACTGTCCACTTGATTCTTGTTGATTCTTGACCTCAAGTTCCTGCTTATCTGACCAAAGCCTGGTCATCCTGTCTCTATCTTGGGTCCAGCGCCTCTCTTGCTGCCTGCTGTATTCTGCCTAACTTGCCTATCTGTAATACTTGTAATTCTGTTCCTGAGCCAGGAAACTCCTTCCCCTCACTTCCACTACTTCTAGGAACACTTCCTCCAGGAACACTTCCTCCATAAGCTGCCCACCCTAGGCCTAGGCTACTGTGCTGGTGGAAGCTCTTGGGGCTCCCTGCATTCTGCATCCAGCACCAAACATCATCACACATGTATGTGTGAGAGTTAGCTGTGTCCTGCACATTGCGGTAAGCTCAGAAAGGAAGGGATTGTGTCTGCCCTGCTCTGTGGTCTCTCCTTTGCCCAGAGCTTACTGAACTTGGACAGATGGGGAGTGGAAAGCAGGGCATGGCACTGCCACCCAAGAAGTGCTCAGAAATGGGGCCCCACTGTGCAGCCTTTGCCCACCTCAACCTTGTTGTAGAAGAACTATGACACCTACTATGACCTGAATGCTGGTGTCCTTCTAAAATTCACGTGTTGCACCCTAACCCCAGCATCAGAAGACAACTAGGTCATGAGGCAGAGCCCATTCCCACAATTAGCACCCTTATGAAACAGGTCTGAGGACCCCTCACCTCTTTCCCATGTGAGGACACACAAGAAGGCACATCCACGAGCCAGGAAGTGGACCCTCAGCCAATGACAAATATCCCAGGACCTCGGTCTTGAACATGCAGCCTCCAGAACTGTGAGAAATGCATTCTTGCTGTTTCTAAGCCACCTTGCCAACAGTGGCTTGTCCAAACGGCCTGAACAAACTAAGACACCACCCCACGGTGTTGTCTACAGAGGCAGGGAATGTGCCCAGTGCAGACCCAGCCCAGAGAAGGCCTGACCAGGTATCCACCAACTTGAAAACAATGTCGCTTTTGGGTGGAACTCTCCAAGGGAGCAGAGATTTATCTTCCCTACTCACATGCCCTCCACCCTCCGCCCCATTGCTGAGACACCCAGACACTGCCAGGCCCTGCTCTGTGCTTGGAACCTTGGAGCCTGCTGAAGGCTTTCCCAGAAGGTGCAGAGTGCCATATGTCTGAGAACAGAAAGAAGAGTGCTGCTGTGGCGCATTGTCACTGGAGGCAGCAGGGCACAGGGCGCCCCCAAGGCCCAGCACTGGGCCCTCTGATGAGCAGCTACCACTTGTAGTTTTCAAAGTTTTGGATTTTGTGCAATTGACACCAAGGTAGTGAGGACAGAGCCTGCCTTCTGGAGTCAAGATGCCTGGTTGACCGACATGTGGCTGGGGCACCTACCTACCACCCTGAACCTGGTGGAGTGCTATCTACCAGAAGTGCTCTGGGGAGAAAAGGAGGTAGTGTGGACCAAGCACCTGTGGTTATGCTGGGTACTTAGTGGGCCCTTCCTGCTGGCTTCTCTTCCCCTGAGGCCAGGGCCGCTGGGGTGCCATTGGTGTATCTGCCCACCAGGGGCCCTCAGTGCTTCACGCCATCCCTGGAAATCCTCCGGGGAGGATGGCTGTTACACAAATAAAACTCTTTAGGGTAAGCACTCAGCCCCAGGTAGCTCACAGAACTCAGGCTTGTGCCCAGTTCCCCCATCCAGAGCCGAGATGATGACCCCCAAATCCTTTGTGTCCCCAGCCAGGGGAGGAAAGTTCCAGAGCCCATCAACTGGACAGAGATGCCTCAGGAACAAGTACCCAGGGTCATGCCTGGGATAAACACGGAGACTGGACTTGGAGGCTGCTGAAGATCTGCATAGAGTGTGGCATTTGATGGCAATTGCCCATTTGAGGCATGATCCTCATCAAGTGCTTGCCAGCAGCTTTGGAAGCCTGCATCTTTCAGGTTCAAGGCTGAACTCCCCACTCAGCAGCAGTGTGGCCTTAGATAGCTGCTTAATCTTTCTGAGCCTCTGTTACCTCATCAGTAAAATGACAGTTATCCTACCAGCCTCAAGAGCACATCACACCTGCTATTATTTATTCCTGCCCCACAGATCTTTCCCTGAACATGTCCCACTCCCTGATCCCTGAGTCTGTTCCTTTCCCAGCCACACACAAGCCAGACATGAACTGTCCCTGACTCAGGCTGGGCAGCACTCTTAACTCCTCAGTGTTTACTTTGTAGGAACTGCTCCAGGCCGCCTTACAATGTGACAGAAGCCCCAGATCCAGCCCAGACCAACACACAAGGTCACACCCACTATGCTCCCGGGAATACTGACAGTACAGTGAGTTATTGGCCTCGGTTATTTTTTCATATTCTGCTGAAACCAAACTATGATCCTAGACTTCTTATAAATGTGAACCACCTAAATCATGAGCAAGTGGCCTGGGAACTTCCTCCTTAGTCCTCCTAGCATTGAACTAGTTTACCTAGGGTTTTCCCCGTACCTTCTCCAAGGAGGGCTACTCTTCAGGCCTCACTGGGGCATACCAGGAACTGTGCCTCTCCCCCAAAGCCACAGGCCCCTGTGTGTAGGGCTTAGCAACAAAGGTTTGAAATCAGTAATGACGTAGACCAGGCCTGGCAAAGACATTATTGAGTTGATAGAACCTTTGTGATTTTGATTATTTTACACTAATAGAGAAACTGTCAAGCAGCTTTAGCTGTATTTGCCAGTGGGAGCTCTCTGTAGTCACCTTGTTTTGAGGCTGGGTCCCCACTCATGTCTCTTCAGAAGCAAGATGTCCTCTCAGGGCATAATGGAGCCATCCAACAAGCTAGAAGAGGCCCAGGATGAGTGAGGACTTAGGCAGGGCCCATCCTGGCCAAACAGGTCCTGCCCTGGGGACCTGGAAGGTGAACCCAGTCACAGGTCTCCAAGGCTGGCAGCCCTAACGAGGCTCACTGGGGCACGGGGAGATTTTCTTACTTTGAATGCTTGGTCCCTTTTCATAATGGCCAGCTCATGGCCAGAGATTTTTGCTTTTTGAAACCATGTCCAAGAATTTACTTCTCCCTGCAGGAATGGGAAGGTAAAAGATCCTTGTAGGGGGAGACAGGGGAGACCAGGCCCTGGTTGGTAGCTGGGGTGAAGCCCAAAGGCTATGGGGTTGGGGGTGACACTGAGCAGTAACACTATGAACATCAATCGGCCTATGAGCCTGGCTTAAAAATAAAGGCAAAAAGGAATTTTTTAATTGGGATACAGGAAAAAACAAACAATCTGTCAGAAGGCAGCCAAAGGACATAGGGTGGAGGTGAAAGGTTCGACCACCCGAACAAGTGCGGGCAATCTCCTCTGGCAGTGCCCCTTCCCTTTCATTGAGTCACTGCCAACCTGCCCAGCCCCTGAGGCCAGCAGCTGAAGACGACCTCCTGCCGAGATGCGCAACTCAGAAACCGAGCAGAGTGGAATTTGGGCACACCGCTCGGGGAGCGGGGCTTCGAAAAGGCGGCCAGCGCTGGGCTCAGCCGGTTCCCCTGCCTGCAGCTGTGGTCAGGCCGCCCCACCCTCAGCCAGGACGCGGAGAGCGAGCGCACTAACGCACCCAGCAGAAAGAGTCAATTTGAGTTAAAGCAGTGGTGACCCCAGGGTGTCGTCGCTGGGAGGTCTCGGGACCTGCTTAGGATGGCTCTCATTCTTAAGGCCGGTGATCAACTGAGAGGCGTGCAGAGCTGCGAAGCTCTTTGCCAAAGTGACTCGATCCTACGCCTCGCTGGGAGGTGGCACCCGGGGTGGGATGCAGGAGCCGGACTCCCTTCCCCAGCTCCGAGTGTCCGCAGAGCGCGCCGGGTGTGCTTCGGGGAGACGCCCTCAGCGCTCCGGCCAGGCCCCCCTGGAGCTGGGGGGTTGCGGAGGGAAAAGAAGGAGGGTTGGGGGCGGGACGAGCTCCTGGGGCGCCGCCTTGCTCTGCCCGCCGCTCGCCAGCTCTTAACCCGCGCGCTCAGGCGCCCCGGGCCACTGGGCTCCGCGGAGCGAAAGAGAGTGGTCATCGCGGAGCCGCACCGCCAAGTCCCATCCCGAGACAGTCGCCAGCTCGCCGGCATGGCCCCCGCAGCGGCTTCGGGTGGCAGCACCCTGCCCAGTGGCTTCTCGGTCTTCACCACCTTCCCCGACTTGCTCTTCATCTTTGAGTTTGTGAGTGGCTCGCGAACCCGCGCCGGGACGGTGGAAGGGACGGGATGGGCGGCGAAGCGCCTGCCCTCGGGGATGTCGCGTCCCGGGAGCGTCCAGGTAGGGGGCTCCGGGCTCAGGGGTCCATGGCTGGAGAGTACTCCCTACCTCCCAGCCTGCCAGATTCCCTTTCTAGAGCAATGACAGTGGGGGAAACAGTCTCTTCTGTGGAAAAATCCAGTTCGCACCCTGGGTCAGACGGAAGGGCAAGGCAGCGTCCGCTGTGCGCGCTGGTGTCCGGGGCTGCGCACCTACTCTACTCGCTTGCCCCTGTGGTCCCCAGGAAGAGCCTCCCCGCTCTGCACCCCTGTTGGAGGGCATTGTCCTCCCCAAGGTGCCCAGCTTTGTCAAGGGAGAGGGCTTTTTTAAAACAAAGTATCAACAAAAGTAACCTTAGTATTGCCAACCGAGATTTAGAGATTAGGAATTGAATTCGGATTATATTCTCTTCTAGCTTTAAAGTTTCTGGCGAATGAAATGTATTTGCAACGTTTGACTGGGAAATAAAATAGGGGTCGTCATTTGTTCCGTGCCCTGCCCAGTATGGGAGGGAGGGGCAAAGGGAACCGGTGGGGGCAGTCCTCCTGCCTCGGCTGACCTTGAGCAGGGGAGAGGTGTCACTGCCCCAGGTTGGTCCCCTACCCCTGCAGCCACCCAGGCGCGCCTGGGGATGCAGGGGCTGAGGGAGACTTTCCCTCTATGGGCTCTTGGTAAAGTGCTCCCACTGTCTGGAAGCTTCAGACCTCCCATAGCCTCCGCTCCCTGGGGGCCACTGATGCTGACTGAGAAGGGTGGGCTTTATTTATTCCATGAGTGTGATTCGTCATGGGCGAGGAGACACCTTTCCCTGCGTGTACCCACCCACGGCACAAGTGGCAGCACTTAGAGTTGAATGGGAAAGAAAATTCGGAAAGCCAATGGTTCAAATTCCTACCTGAACTTCTTGTCTGATAGGGTGCTGGGGGAGGGGGGACACCAAAGAGAACAGGTTCTGGATTTGGGGGGAAGGGGCAAGTGGGGATAGGTACAGTTGCTTGGCATCATTGAATTTGTGTTGTGAGTCCAGTTGAACCAAATCCAAGTGTATCCAGAGTGACTCCAAGTCCTGGGCATAACCGCAATCACAGAAGTGACATTTAGAAGAAACTGCTGAGCCCACCACCACCACCTACAGATAGAAACATCCAGGTTGGAAGTGGAGAGGGGCTTGGCCGAGGTCAGCCAGCTCTTTCATAGTTCTCCTGCCTCTTGAGCTCCTTCCACACTCAAGGTTGTCAGGCAGAGCCTGGAGCAGCGCCAGCTGAGTGTTTGACACGCTCTGTGCAGGCTCCTTCACAGGGCACCAGCCCACAACGGAAGTACCAATGAGTCATTCTTTCCTCAAGTGGCTCCTCGGAGTGCCTCTGTGTGTCATCTCTGAGCCCATGTTTGTCTAAGCTTGGATTTCTGAAAATCTTGGTGTGAGAGAAATAGTGAGGACTTCCTTCGGAGCCAGAGCATGATGACCAAAAGTTTCACGGTGAGATTTGGTCAGGAGGAAGGGAAGATCTTAGTGTCTCTTAAATTTCCCCATGAGCAACTTACCCTATCTTTGTAGCTGCTTGGGGTGTGACAACAAGAATCATGGGAGTGTGGTAGTTGGACTTTGGGCTTTTGTGCGACCTCCACAACTCTCTCTCTCTCTCCCTCAAGACCCTCATGAGGGCTGAGGTCAGGTGATGGCAGGTGGTGTGGGTGAGCTTCACAGAAGGGACACCCTCCCACCATGCTCTCTGCCTCCTCTTGGCTCAGCATGGAGTGACCCTGCAGGCAGGAACAGTCCAGTCAGGCAGGGTGATCTAATCTGGAGATCAGGGCAAGAGGATAGGAGGATCCCACCCAGCTACCCTGGCCACGTCCTTGCAGAGAGCTGGGGGTGTGAGAAATCTCTGCACTGTTAGTAGAAACTTACTCCTCTACCATGATTTTGTGAACTGCCATCACAGGGGTTTCTAGAAGAAATCATTTCCCTTTACCAGAAACACTTAACTCTTTTGTCTTGAAAATTGTCTCTCTTCCACCTCAATCACTGCTCCTCTGCCCCCACATCCCCGTGTCACTTCCCAAGAGGCTTTGGATGTCTCTCTTGTTATCTGTGAGCCTCTTTCTTCCTCTTGAGATTAGGCAAGGGCTCTCAGGGTGCCTGGCAGGGAAGAGGAGAGGGCAGAACACAGGTCTTTAAATTTCCCTTGTGTGGCTCATATGTATGAAGCTGTATGGGCTTTGATGTATGCAAGACCTGGAGAATTAAAGGGCTAGAAGAGACTGAACCACCCTGGGGAGGATTTTCTTAAATTATGTAGTATTACAACTCAATAACAAGGCAAGCAAGCTAATTAAAAAATGGACAAATGACTTGAACAGACATTTCTCCACAGAAAAAATGTAAATGAGAAAAGAAAAATAGGAAAAGATGCTCAACTACATTAGACCTCAAGGAAAAGAATTCAAAACCACATCAAGATACCACTTCACAACCTATGTCTATTGGTTTAAAAATGGGTCCAGGAGCAAAGCCTGCAATAAAAGTTTAAAACAAAAGGAAAAGAACAAGTATCATCCAGCATTGTGCATTGTGCATTGCTATGGGAATATAAAATGGTTCAGCCACTGGGAAACAGTTTGGTGATTCCTCAAAAAAATTGCTCTGTGACACAGCAGTTTCACTCCCAGGAATATAACCACGGATTTCAAAGGAGGGACTCAAATGAGAAAATGTGGGTGCATGTATTTTATGATCGTAATTATTGTCCTACTTGGTTAAGGCTTCATATTTTGCCTTATTTGCTTTCTATTATTAAGGAAGTAATAAGCCCACCTGGTAACCCACCTTGTCTTACTCTCTGTGCTTCTTTCCTCAGGAAAGCCCCTAAGCTAAAAGTGACATTCACCACCTCCAAGCATGCTTTAGGCTTCACCACACACAAAACTATGAACAGGGTGTTGTTTCATACATTTTCACACTTCCTGAAAATTACATCTCATTGCACATATCCTTTGTCACACGCAACATGATGGTGGAGATTTAGACGTGTTGACACTGTTCATCCATCCGTCAGTTGGTGGACATTTTGGCTATTTCTGATTTGTTATCTTTAGCTGTTGCCAAGAACATTCTTGTCATTGCTGCTGGAAATTTCTCCCAAATCCATAGAAAATTTAGCTTTCTGGGTCACAGGGTGCACACATTTGTCCCAAAGGTTATTCTGATTCACATATCTCAGTGATTGATTTACCAGGAAGCTGATAAACTTGAATCAAACTCCAGACCAGGACTGTCTAATTTTGTAGTATTTTATAAAGAAGTTCTTCAAACTACATCAATAAGCTTCAAGCTAAACCTGAACCCTGCCAACTCTCACCAGCAGCATGTGAAAGTCCCCATTGTCCTGCTATACTTGGTAGTGTCAGACTTTGTCATTTTCTGCTCATCCCATGAGTGTGAAACGCTTGATTATTTTTTAATTCTGTAGTGCATAAAGTTTATGGTGACTCACATTTCACTTTCCCATGCCTGACCTCCCAATAGTCTGGAAGTGCAGGTGGCCAGGGCCAACAGGGTGGCACCCTCACCACCCATGGCAGGGAAACTGCCCACTGGAGCAGGCAAGGGTGGTGACAAGGTGGGGCCTGGCAGCCTCACCTGGGCTCAGTGCCCCTACCCTGAAGCTCTGACCTCTGAAAGCCACAGAGTCCTCACAGGAAGAGGAGAGCAGGCCCAGCTCAGCAGTAAGACCCCATCTTTCTGAGCACCTGCAGAGCCTCAGGCAGTGGGTGCACCCCATGTAAACCCAAGCATTCAGTGCTTTCTCCTCCCTCAGCAGCTCAATCTAGAGCTCTACTTCTGGCCACTTCCCCTGCAAAAACAATTCCCACCCAATGAGAGTCTTTCTCTTTTGTAGGCACAATGTGTTTCCTCCTCTCCTTTCTAAGTCAGGGGCTTTGTGACACTCTGGCCACCATTCCCGGGGAAGGAGGTTAACATGGAATGCTTTCTGTCTTGACTTGGGCCAAGATCCCTGAATGCAACTTTTCCTACAGAGACCCCTGCCCTGCCAGGATTCCAAGTGCCTGGAAACACAAGATCCTTAATCCAATCCCTACTCAGCAGGTGGGCAGGCAGGGAAAGGATGGTTGGCAGTTAAAAGAAAACATTTTTTGGATAAGAATGTGGTAGGAATTCCAGGGGCCGGTACTTGCCCTCCCTGTGTGCCTCAGGAACACAGTAAAGAGGGGCACAGTCAACTGGGAGAGTGCATATTTTGGGGTGGAAGTGGGATGGGGACGTCACCTGGAATTGGCTTGCACTTTTGATTCCTAGAGTGGAGTTAGTAATTATTAAAATGAGACCTTTTCTGTGACTCTTATTCATTTGAGAGTGATCGGACAAGCCCTAGATTTTCACTGAGCTGGGGAAGAGCTGGTCCCGGAGAGCCAAGATCAGGTCTCATGATTGACAGAGCAGTTTTCCGTTGGGTGGTCCACATCCTGGCTCCATTGAGAAAGGAGCCTCTCTCCTAGGAGATAAGAGATGGAAAATCACAGAAACCTAATGTTCAGAAATAGGTGGAAACTAAGGCTCAGAGGAGTGACTTGCCTGGGGCCACTTGGTCCCCAGGTCACCTATTGGACCCAAGCAGTGAAAGCAAATCTGCCCCCGGCCAGGATTCTGCACTAACTGAAACACCCATGGTGAGGTTTTTTCCTACACCAGAGAGGATCCTGAACAGACATCCCTGGCCACTGGCAGCCATGGGCAGGGCTTGGGTCCCTCTGACCCTCCAGGAAATTAAGGGACAGCTCAGAGCCGCTGGGCAGCTCATGTCCCCCAATACCTCCCTTGTCAGAAATACACCCTGCAGATTCTTAGTCACCTCATCCAAGAATCTGCATTTGATAAGCACTGATTCAGTGGGAGTGGTCAT